AACAGCATCAGAAGCAGCAGCAGCAACGACAGCAGTAACAGCATCTACAGAAGCGTCATACGCAGCAGCGGCAGTGACGGCAATATCAGCATCAGCAGCAGGTAGCAGTAGCAGCACTAGCTCCAGCACCAGCACCAGAGACATCAGTAACTGCAACAGTAGCAGTAGCAGCAGTGTTTGCGCAAACAAAAGCAGCATCGTTGTATAGCGAAAATAGCAGTAGCAGTAGCAGCAGTGTTTGCGCAAACAAAAGCAGCATCGTTGTATAGCGAAAATAGCAGTAGCAGTAGCACAAGCAGCAGTATAGTTGTAGCAACCATAGCAATAGTAGTAGTAGTAGTAGTAGTAGTAGTAGTAGTAGTAGCGGTTGTAGCAACGAAAGCAGTAGCAGTAGCAGCAGTGTTTGCGCAAACAAAAGCAGCATCGTTGTATAGCGAAAATAGCAGTAGCAGTAGCACAAGCAGCAGTATAGTTGTAGCAACCATAGCAATAGTAGTAGTAGTAGTAGTAGTAGTAGTAGTAGTAGTAGCGGTTGTAGCAACGAAAGCAGTAGCAGTAGCAGCATTGCTTGCATAAACAATAGCAGTAGCGGTAGTATTCGGAGGAGGAAAGAAGGAAGAATACTGCAGGTCCTACCTGCCCTTCCTGCTAGTCTCCGCAATTCTTCAAGGAGAGCGACCATAGAGCGCGGGAACTAGCTACCATGCTCTAAAATTGATTATACCGGAGAAGCTGCCAAAGAAAGAGGAAGGAACCGCGCAGGAGCAACCACGATGGGGGAAGGAACCGGTTGATCTGCAGTCGCGTCTGCTGGTGTTATTTATCTGCAGCAGCTGCCACACTGCGGCAGATGTCGACAATTAACTTTTTCCGTTTTTTTCCTCGGGCCGAGCGGTCTTCATTTTCTCGTTTTAATGATCTGTTCTTTGATGGCGGCCTAACCTCAACCACTTGTGCGGCGGCGTAGGTTTTTGCTGCAGCAGCAGCCGGCACGAGCCACGCTAAACGTCTCAGGGTTAACGCTGTCGCCAGATGTCAACGTTGATGTTGTCAATATCAGGATGTCAACGTTGATGTTGTCACCGGCAGGATGTCAACGTTGATGTTGTCACTAGCAGGATGTCAACGTTGACGCTGTCACCAGTAGGTGACATCGTGTGACAGCTTGTTTCTACACACTGCAAACCTCCGCTCTCTTCCTTTCGGGACATTACGTGCCACCCTTGCTTATCCTGTCAACTTAATCCCATCAGCCTCACTCTTCTATACTCGGTTGGCTCCACTCTGCTAGCCCCATACTGGCCACATGCCAGTATTCTGTAGGATACCGCTAACGAGAAGTTCGACGAGCGACAGAGCGAATGGGCAAAGAACAATTCTACGCGTAGGTCGGCAGCAGTTACTGCCAGCCCGTCAGTGTGTTGGTAGGACGGCCTGCCAGCTCTACCCCGTCAGTGTGTTCCTGGGACAGCCTGCCAGCTCTATCCCGTCAGTGTGTTCCTGGGACAGCCTGCCAGCTCTACCCCGTCAGTGTGTTCCTGGGACAGCCTGCCAGCTCTACCCTGTCAGTGTTTTTCTCGGACAGCCCGTGGACACCTGCTCAGTTCATCGCCCCTGCTTCCGCATATATTTGAAAGTTAGAGTAGTTGAGAGTAACATGTCGCGCAACGCGGGGCGCCATCTGATGCCGACTATGGGTTTTATTGCAGCAGGTTTTTCTCGCAGAAGTTGTTTTTACTGATTCTTTTTTCCGAAAAACGATGTTCTTTTTATGGGCTTCTCCTTATGCCTGCTATTTCTTCTTCTTGTAAAGATTAGCCCCCGATTCCTTTCCGTATCATTCTAATATAGCATCCTTCTCCTTATGAGTCTCCCCATAAACTGATACAGTATCCTCCACCGCCTCTTCATCCGCTTTCTTTTTCTCCTCCCCCTTTTCTTCCTCTTCGCCCTCCTCAAGCAAAATTTTTGGCGCGTAGCATTCTCTTCCTGATGCCTCGCCCGGCGCGCAGCTTCTTTCTTGCGCTCCGCATCCTCTTCACGCCCACCGCGACCGCGACCGCCGCCGCCGCCGCCGCCGCCGCCACGGCTCGGCCATAAACCTCACAGAACCTCCCTCCGCTGCAGGCAACATGTGGTTTTGATTCGGCAACCTTGAAAAGGATACGTTTTAACAAGTTCCTCGGCGCTAATCTGGCCGCACCAGTGTCTATACACGCTTGCCTCCACATCTTCAACGCCGCATCTCCCCCTAACCACCGCTGCAGAAGTTGCGCCGGCATCGGCGGCTGACTTGGTTAGGCAATGTCTGGCTTTCTCCCACTTATTGACCGAGGCGCGCGCACAGATGCGGCCCACATGCGGCCCGCGTGGCTGGCTGACTTCGTGTTGACGTGCAGGGCTTCTTATAACGCGCACACAATGCTAAATAACTCTCTGCCCCCGCTTCGCGTGCCAGCGTATCATATATAGGCGACCATGACCGTTCCATCCTCCGCAGCGCATATATAATGTGGAAGAAGCCCTACTTTGTTAGCATGTTTATCATATTACCAAGAGCAGAAGAATATGTATAGATCGTGCGCGATATTTAAATTAAATATTGATTTTGGTTGAATTGAGTTATGGGTTATAGTTATGCGAAGTAATCCATCTAGCTAGTAAGATGTTTTACTACTTAACAGGTGGCTTATAAAACTCGGCGGGGAATACGGCAAGACATCAGCCACTCTCTTAATCCTCCTTGTCTTGCTCATCACCTTAAACTCATCCTCAGTCTGCCATCATTATCTTTGTTCTAATCTTCGCACACCTGTCACCACTTTTTTCCTCATTATCCCGCCCATCATCCCGCTTATCTTTATCTTCATTCTGCGTCCCTGACCCGTTTACGTTCACGCTCACTCTCATCCGCATCCTCGATCGTCTACCCG